GCGTATAAAAATGGGATCACACATCAGTGGACAGTTTCTTATGATCATTGCTACATATCTGTATTACCAGGGTGGAAACAGATGACTGTGATGTCATATACATGACATTTTGAAATCTTAGATGTTATGTCACTGTTTATCTATTTGAGAATTAGTGTCTGTTGCTAAAAACAAATATAAGCTGAAGTTTGGATAGGATTTCTGTTGTTCATTATCACTGTGTAGGACTGACACCGGATATAGCTAGTACCGAAACGGGCATGGACGCTAGGCGCAGACAAGCCACAGGATGTTTTCCGATATTTCTGGTATTTTCTAGTAGCGTAGAGAAAAATAAAGGAGCACAACAGTTATACAATAAACAATGGTTTATGTGATGCAGATGATTTGTAAACTATTTCATGCGATCTGAAGATATTGGTCAGAAATGACTACAAAGTACCGGTACAAAATCATTTAAAAAGAAAGAAGATGAGAAAACTATTAAAGTATGACATATACAATGATGAAACGGACGTTACTGGCATATGTAGATGATACCGGTATAAACATATAATGGTCATATGTCTAAATGTAGTCTTTACGATGTAATTGACTTAAATGGTTCTTTGACTGTGTACGGCGAATAGTTGTTTACATGTAAACATTGCCAAGTATACGGCAGCTAGTATGTTAACAGTACGGCGAATAGCTATACTAACATAACAATGTTTAGAGCGAGCATTTGTATTAGCTACGTTTTTATGTTGTTATACCATTGGAGTAACATACCAATGGTGTTGCTTTGTAACACTTTTGAATTATATCGTAAGGGAAGGGGTTAAGAATGTCGGAAATCTAATGAATGTCGAGTTAAATAATGATAAGGAGTACCCATTTTGCACATGCTATAACAACTTTAAAAACATTTCGTTCAGAGGAACGATAACAGAGTTATCGCCCCTCTAACACTCCAACACCAATTTATTGTTACATATATTCCAGAGCATTACACAATTCTTGCTAAAAAATTAGGTTGCATGACGCCAAAAGCGATCCACGATGGCTATGATTAGTTGTTTTATAAGGATGAATTTGCTTCCTTTTTCATAACAAATCCGGTGGCACTATCAAAGTTGATTTAAAAGTTGTTACAGATCCATTGATATTCGCATGTATACTCAACCTGTGATATTCTGTACGCAAGCCAATTATCAAAAAACGTCTATTGCAAAAATCTTATTCTGACAACGATATTTGGAGAGCAATATAGCAATGTCAGGTTCCAGTAAATGTCGTGTTGTCTTGAGTGGACCAGTGTTCACTTTATAAAACTTTTATGTCAGTAAGTTAACACGCTTACAGGTCGATTTCTTTGGAATAAATCTCTTTGCCATGCAAAAATAAACGAATTCAACCTTTTTAAGTTGACAATCCTTTCTTAAAAGTTTAATTTGAAATAACAATTGCAATGTTGATATTAATACTCTCAATACTTCGCCGACCTGCCAACCTGGATCAATCTGGAGGGAATTAAGTTATTAAACAAACTTAGCGTACACAGTCGTACGGTAATATACAGTAATTACATAAGTAAACGGATACATGCATGTACCGTAATTAGTCTGCTATTCACACGGCTGTTATAGTCTGTAAATGTTCTATATAAGATATGACGTCCAGCCCATAGGAAATTCTTTATCAGATAATACGTCACGTGATATAGCCCATAGAATACGTATTCTTTGTCAGATAAAATTTCATGTGATATAGTCCCTAGAAAATTCTTTATCAGATAATACGTCACGTGATATAGCCCATAGAATACGTTTTCTTTGTCAGATAAAACTTCATGTGATATGTATTCCATTGGAAATTCGTTATCATATATTACGTCATCTGATATAGTCTATAGAATATTCTGTATCAGATATTACGTCACATGAAACAGTCAATAAATATTCTTTATGAAATATGACGTCATCTGATATAGTTCATACAATATCCTTTACCTGACATGACGTTACTTGGAGTCCGTGGAATATGTATCAAATACTACGTCACGTAAACATATGTTCTATATCATATATTACGTCACGTGATACATTCCATAGAATATTCTTTATCAGATAAAACATCACGTGACAAAGTATAGAATATTCTTTATCACATTTTATGTCACGCGATGTAGTACTGCGATGATAAAATATTCTATATTAGATAATCCGTTTCATGATACTGTCCAATGAATAGTCTTTATAAATTTATCAAATAATATATAATAAAAAAAAAAATCTTTTTTTTTTTCAAAAGAAATAAGTGACGTATAAATCGTATCATCATCTAATGAACCGAGAATTTTGCGTTATGAAGTCTTGATCTGAGGAGGCTTGCAATGTGCCGCAGTTTTATAATGATGCTTTTATATATATTTGTTTTGTTCCATTACAGTTCGATCCTTTGAGTGCATAGTGTTTAGAAGAAAAATGCAAAATAGTTTAATGATATCATTCCAGGAAGTAGCCATACATCGGTCAGCTGGCAGGGCTGTCACTGTGACGAGGCGAGAACGACCTAGGCATGGCCCAGTCAAGTATTACAGACGAGGAGGGCGAACTCACGGAGGAGGCGATAGCAGGTCAGTCTGACGTCACATCCGGTATATGTTATCTTTGTGTCGTACGAATATATTATGTATACCAATTGTATAGTATCAACACATTCTTCAATACTTAGAAAGCCATAGTTTATTGTTTAGTCTTCGATATAGACTAGTTTCACAGAGACCTGAGAATTTGTGACAGCTATATTTGGACCTGAACTAAGGCGTTTAGAGTAATTGTACACGTTTGGGGGATTTAGACCGATTTTCAGTAAAACTTCCAACCCCAATGATCATATATCCCAAAAAGGTGTAAAAATACTCAAAACACATTAGTTTAGGTCCAAATATAGCTGTAACAAATTCTCAGGTCCCTGTGACTAGTTTGACTCTATATGATATTTTTCATTCGGTAATAAGCTAAGTATAGAGATGTTTCTCTCTTAATGATTTCTAATGTTCGGTGTTCGCTGTAGAAAGGTAACATTTTACTCGATAACTTTTGGTGTAATAGGTTTCATTCTATACGATAAGGCACTTTTATTGGTCGGTATAAACAGGCTTCATTTTTACGGTAATTTACGTGTAGTAGTTGTTATAGACAGGTTCACTCTTCATGATGTCTCCCGTTCCGTGAAGACAGGTTCATTCTTCATGATGTCTCCCGTTCGGTGAAGACAAGTTCACTCTCCATGATATATCCCGTTCGGTGTAGACAGGTTCACTCTTCATGATGTCTCCCGTTCGGTGTAGACAGGTTCACTCTGCATGATGTCTCCTGTTCGGTGAAGACAAGTTTCACTCTGTACAATACATTTCATTTGGTGTCGACAAGTTTCACTCAACAGGTTTCATTCTACAAAATACATTTCGTTCGGTGTAGACAGGTTTCATTGTATACGATACCTTACATTAAGTGGTAGATATAGATGGTAGGTTTCATTTTACAAAATACATTTCGTTCGGTGTAGACAGGTTTCATTGTATACGATACCTTACATTAAGTGGTAGATATAGATGGTAGGTTTCACTCTACAAAATACCTTTCGTTCGGTGTAGACAGGTTTCACTTTATACAAAACCCTAAGTTTTGTGGTCGGTATAAACAGTTTAATTTGCACTCTACACTTCTAGTATACCTTTCGTTCGGTGTAGACAGGTTTCATTTTATACGATGCCTTACATTTAGTGCTTGGTGAACAACTATTAATTTTCGCTCTATACAATGCCTTTCGTTCGGTGTAAACAGGTTTCACTTTTTACAAAACCTTAAGTTTTGTGGACGGTATAAACAGTTTGATTTGCACTCTACACTACTAGTATATCTTTCGTTCGGTGTAGACAGGTTTTACTTTATACAAAACCTTAAGTTTTGTGGACGGAATCAACAGTTTAATTTGCACTCTACACTACTAGTATACCTTTCATTCGGTGTAGATAGGTTTCATTTTATACGATGCCTTACATTTTGTGCTTGGTGTAAAACTATTAATTTTCGCTCTATACAATGCCTTTCGTTCGGTGTACACATATTTCACTCTATACAAAACCTTAAGTTTTGTGGACGGTATAAACAGTTTAATTTGCGCTCTACACTACTAGTATATCTTTCGTTCGGTGTAGACAGGTTTCATTTTATACAATACTTTTTGTGCAGTGTACACTCTTCTCGCTATTTGATGCCTTATGTTCCTTGGTCGGTGTAAAGAGGTTTCACGTTCCCTACGATACGTCGTGTTCATTGTTAGGAAGTTTCACTCTACACAATACCTTTCGTTCGGTGTAGACAGATTTCACTTTATACAATACTTTTGTTCGGTGAAGACATGTTTCACTTTATACGATACTTTTTGTTCGGTGTAGACAGGTTTCACTTTATTCGATACTTTTTGTTGAGCTTTCACTTTTCTCACTATATAAAACCTTATGTTTATGTGTCGGTGTAAACAGGTTTCACTCTTAACAATACTTTTCGTCTTGTGTAAGGTATCACTTGATACCTTACGTTCACTTGATACCTTACGTTCACTTTATACCTTACGTTCACTTGATACCTTACGTTCACTTGATACCTTACGTTCAGTGGTCGGTATAACTGTTAGACAGTTTTCATTCAGGTTTAATTCCCTCGATTCCATACGTTACAGAAATGAAGCGTATTTTCCGTCAGATTGACACCACTGGTAACGGTAAGATCGGAGCCAACGACCTGATGCGGTCCATGCAGCTCGGAGGATGTAACCCCACCAAGGAGGAGGCTGAACGCATCATCAAGGAAAACGACATGGACGGTAGGATCTGTCGTGGTTAAGGAAAACTTAACTAATTTTAGTGATTTCGTCTTAAGTGTAGGAAACGCGCCGCGTCTTGTGCAATCGAGAACCGTCGACACTTTCTGTGAACGAGAAAGTATATTTTCTCGTTTACGGAAAGTGCCGACGATTCCCGATTGAGTCTTGTGGTCTGGCTAGGCGCGGAATCATTAGCCGGAATTGGCCGAGAAGTTGCGATTGCGACTTCCAATGTAGCCTCCATAGTTAGGTCAACTGAGGTCAAACGACAACAGACGACGAGCCAACATTTTGATTTTTTACAATCTGCTGAAAACGACTGACTCATGCACATTGGTCCTCGTTGTGGATTCAATTCGTCCATCGTGTTGCTATTGGCTAATTATGGAAAACAAAACGACAAGTTTAACAACTGAATTATAATTGATAATAACGAGTCTACACAAGGCCCTGAGAATCCGTTACAGTGTAGCTAGGTTAGGACGTAAACTGGTGTGTTCGGACTTATTATTGCACACTGTTTGGGTTAAGATCAACTCTTAGTATAAGTAAAAATGCTACCCCGAGATCAACCCTCGCTAAAAATATCATTTCATGGTAACATTTTTACCAAGAGCTGATTTAAACCTGTAAAACATTTGAAATATTACCCTGAACTCATCAGTTTAGGTCCAGAAAAAGCTGTACTGTAACAAATGCTCAAGTCCCCGTGTAGTTTATTGCTAACATGCTCAGGAGTCAATGTCAACTATATGTCTACGACACAATGAAACTGTTGGTGTCTGGTGGTGAGGGTTTGAGGCTTAACCTTCTTTCGCATCAGTAATGTATTTTTAAATGCTTTCTTCAAAAGAAAGTAACGTGTATCTAATTGATGTTTTTGAACACAGGGAGCGGAAGTGTAGAATACGAAGAATTTGAAAACATCATGAAAATCCACATCCTAGCACTCGAGTACCAAAACGACATTCTCAGGGATGCCTTTAAACGGTTCGATAAAGACGGGAATGGATCACTGGATCACGAGGAGCTCCGAAGGGTTCTCTGTAGTATCGGGGAAAGTTTCACTGATGAGGAGGCCGACGAGATGTTCACACTGGTGGACGCAGACAAAAACGGGAGAGTGGACCTGGATGGTGAGTATGGCATACTAGGTCAAGGTTATAGCGGCAGATAAAGGTCAAGGTTACGAGGTATGCAATTAGGGAAGTCAATGTAATACGGAAAGGGGAAAGTCAATAATATACGAAGTAAGTACTGTAAATGTTAAACAGGCAGTGCCGAGGTCAGGTCAAGGTTATACGGGTAAGCGAAGGTCAGTGTCAGCAAGAGTACAATCAGGGGAGTCAATGTCAAATGGAACGGAGAAGGGCAAGGAATTATGGGTAACCGAAGGTCAATGATATACGGGTTGGGTAGATCAGGTATGAAACCAACATGTGGTCAAGGGAAGGTCCATGACATACGCTCAATAAAGTCAAGGTTATACGGTTAAGTTAAGGTCAATGATAGGTCAAGGTTGTACGAGAAAGTGAAGGTCAAGGATATGTAGGCTAGGTAGATCAAGTGTGGGGAAAGAACATTATCAAAGGAATGCCAATACTATACTCTCAGTTAAGTCAAAGGTTATATGGGAAAGTGAAAGTCAAGGTTATACGAGGAAATGAATGTCAAGGTTATATGGAGAAATGAATGTCAATGTTATATTGTAAAATGAAGATCAAATATATGTAGATAGGGTTGATCAGGTATGGAACAAGGATACGGTCAAGGGAAGGTCCATAACATACACTTAGTAAGCCAGGATTATATGGGAAGTAGAATGTCAAGAAAAGGTCAAGGTTAACAAGAACGTGAAGGCCAAGGATATGAAGGCGGGGTTAATCAAGTGTGGGGCAAGGATATAGTCAAGAGAAGGTTCATAACATACGCTTAGTAGGTCAAGGTTATATGGGAAAATGAATGTCAAGTAACGGTCAAGGTTGTACAAGAAACGTGAAGGTCAATGATCTGTTGGCTGGGTAGATCAAGTGTTGTGCGAGTAAGGGAACATGGATATATATGCAAAGGAACATGGATAGGTAGGTATGAACCTCACAGTGGTAAAACACAGACTAACCCACATGTTCCCTTACCTATCTATCCATGTTCCCTTACCAATCTATCCATGTTACCTTACATACCTATCCATGTTATCTTACCTACCTATCCATGTTCCCTTACCTACCTATCCATGTTCCTTTACCTATCTATCCATGTTCCCTTACCTACATATCCATGTTCCCTTACCTACCTATCCATATTCCCTTACCTATCTATCCATGTTCCCTTACCTACCTATCCATGTTCCCTAATCTTCATATCCATGATCCCTTACCTACCTATCCATGTTCCCTTACCTACCTATCCATGTTCCCTTCCCTACCTATCTATGTTCCCTAACCTTCCTATCCATGTTCCCTTACCTACCTATCCATGTTCCTTTACCTACCTATGCATGTTCCCTTACCTTCCTATCCATGTTCCCTTACCTACCTATTCATTTTCCCTTCCCTATCTATCCATATTCACTTACCTACTTATCCATGTTCCCTTACCTACCTATCTATGTTCCCTTACCTATCTGTCCATGTTCCCTTACCTACCTATCTATGTTCCCTTACCTACCTATCTATGTTCCCTTCCCTATCTGTCCATGTTCCCTTCCCTACCTATCTATGTTCCCTTACCAACCTATCCATGTTCCCTCACCAACCTATCCATGTTCCCTCACCAACCTATCCATGTTCCCTCACCAACCTATCCATGTTCCCTTACCTACCTATCCATGTTCCCTTACCAACCTATCCATGTTCCCTTACCAACCTATCCATGTTCCCTTACCTACTTATCCATGTTCTCTTACCTACCTATCTGTGTTCCCTTACCTACCTATCCATGTTCCCTTACCTACCAAATCATGTTCCCTTACCTACCTATCCATGTTCCCTTCCCTACCTATCCATGTTCCCTTCCCTACCTGCCCCCGTTCCCTTCCCTACCTATCCATGTTCCCTTACCTACCTGTCCATGTTCACTTACCTACTTATCCATGTTCCCTTACCTACCTATCCATGTTCCTTTACCTACCTATGCATGTTCCCTTACCTACCTTTCCATGTTCCCTTACCTACCTATCCATGTTACCTTACCTACCTATCCATGTTCCTTTACCTACCTGTCCATGTTCCCTTACCTATCTATCCATATTCCCTTACCTACCTATCCATGTTCCCTTACCTTCCTATCCATGTTCCCTTAACTACCTATCCATGTTCCCTTCCCTATCTATCCATATTCCCTTCCCTACCTATCCATGTTCCCTTACCTACCAAATCATGTTCCCTTACCTACCTATCCATGTTCCCTTACCTACATATCCATGTTCCCTTACCTACCTATCCATGTTCCTTTCCCTACCTGTCCATGTTCCCTTACCTATCTATCCATATTCCCTTACCTACCTATCCATGTTCCCTTACCTACCTTTCCATGTTCCCTTACCTACCTATCCATGTTCCCTTACCTACCTATATATGTTCCCTTACCTATATATCCATGTTTCCTTACCTACCTATCCATGTTCCCTTACCTACCTATCCATGTTCCCTTACCTACCTATCTATGTTCCCTTACCTACCTATCCATGTTCCCTTACCTACCTATCCATGTTCCCTTACCTACCTATCCATGTTCCCTTACCTACCTATCTATGTTCCCTTACCTACCTGGGAACATAGGTAGGTAGGTAAGGGAACATGGATAGGTAGGTCAAGGAACATTGATATGTGGTTTAGTCTGTGTCTTGTCCATGTGATGGATACAGGATGAGTCTGACCTAAGTCGATAGTAAAATTCTGAATATATCGATGTCTTGTAATGAATTCGTCAGTAAATAGTTGTTAGGTTTATGTTATAGAAATAAGAGCGTGATAGGTGAAAATTGATCGTCAAACTTTTAACTTTATGACAGGCTCGAAGCTGGTTTTGGTACACGTTATTGTTCACAACTTTAAATGTGTTTTGTTTATTTTTTTCAGAATTCCTTGCAGCTTTCAAAGCGTCGTGATAAGACAGGTGCCCTTTAAACAATGGGAGTTCGGTCGACAAAATAACAAAACAAAAAAACGAATATTGTGTTGTTATCAACGACTTTAATCTACAAAAATACATAAGTTATAAGTATCGTCAAACTGTTATATATAAGAATAACTGTCATTTATAAACACTATCATAATAAACTTCATATTTTTCTGTATATTCTCCAGACATTTGTCTATATTGAACAGACAGATGTGTGTACGCGAGCTATATATTGGTGTTACAAGTGGCTTTGTTAAATGACAATGCGCCAAAAATGAAATTGGTTGTAAAAAGGTAATTAAATAATTAACTTTGTATGTATCATATAATGGATCTGCTCTACCTTTTAACTCAGTACATATTATTCAATTATAAGAATTTTGTGGTTGTCAGTTCCTGTCACGTGTCATTAAAGCATTCCCACGCTGTGTTATTTTGTTATTACTCTGTTGGGCCCTCGATCCTTATCATAACTTTTAAAGTAGTGTTGTAGTTTTGAGCAATCAGCTCAACTCCAAAAGGATTGCTCAAGTATCAACCTGTGTTAGCATGTTCACTACCTTTTAAACCTCTTACACGCACCCCCATGGTGACGTCATAAAGAAAACATTTGAATGACGTCACATTTTAAACTGTCGATAGAATGACAGACGCTTTATAATCTCTTATAAAGACTGAGAAAATACTAACTGAAGGGACACGAACACATGAATGCAACTGCTCCATTCGTCCTAGATATACATGGCGAGATCGGTGTTGCAGATTTCTCAACAGTTCATGACCATGCCCTCAACTCAGTCAAATGTAAGAGGCACCAGGGCCAGTATTCATGCAACCATTCTCATACTCAGGCATAGATTATGTGCTCAAGGCGACTTTCTATAATGAACATAAATCCTGTGATACGTTCAAAAAGTTATGTGTAACCATTCAAAACAATGTCTGTACAGTAGTCTCTTCAGATGTTTTTTCCAAATATTTAACGAAATGTGCTTTGTTCTTAATTTATCACCGGAACAAGAAATACATTTTAGCAAAGAGAGCAAGAGAACGGTTTCATGAATACGGGCCCAGGTCCGTACCTTTTTCGTTTACGAACAACTTTGCCCCAATTTGTTCAAACGATAAACGGAAGCGGTCCATAAGTGAATTGATAATCTCGCAATGAAACATGGGAGAATTAGTCAAATTCGGAATTCCAGAATTCCCTACCAAGAGTAATTAATTTCCACGTGCCCCATTTATATTGTAAGGAAGCCCCAGTATGTCAAAGCATGACCATATTTTATCTGGAGGCCGCCACTGAATTATCTCCCGTTCCCCTAATGTTCCACGATTCCTCTCCTTATAAGTTTCTGTATTAGCTTGTATATCACCCTGGTCAGACTTGCAGCTGGGGCATGAGAAACTGTAACAGCAGCCATGTTTGGACCGAACAGATGTGCTCAAAGTCATACCAGACGTTTCAGGGGTTTAGATAAACTTAAGGTAAAACAAAATCAATCCCACCCCTTCCAATGGTGGTATATGCCAAATAGATGTAAAACTATCGACCGAACCTAACGAAAAGATGAATACGTTTTCTTTCATAAACCTCCTTATCGTCACCTCCCCACGGTCGAAGGCGCTAGGTGTAGCGAAAACGATCCTCCATTGGGTATCCGACGATTTCAACTCCTAAACCCACATAAAATATGGTCTTATTTCGCAGACATCATTCCAATTTGCTTGACAAAGTGTTCAATTCCTGCTGGTGTTCAAACGAATTTAGCCTTTATGACCTCAGTATCATTGGAAAACACGCCATTTCGATGTTCATTTCTTTCTTTTTTTTGCATATTCATGACGTTGACATCATGTTCTGTAGGCGTTCAAAGGAAAGATTATAATTACATTATGTTTGGACCATGAGACTTCTTTGTATTACACCCCAATTTCTTGCACAACTTTCCTACAATAGTGCCTTTTGGGGTTCGATGACATTTGTCACTAAGGACGACACTTTCTATGGCTGGAATTGTACAAGGGTCCAAATTATAAGCCTGGAAACACCTTTGTCGACCCCTGAATGGAGTCGTAATAAGGGACATGAAACCCAAATTATTCTTGAAGCGATTGAACTCTCCTTGCCCCAAATACCCTACCTGAAGTTGTATAAGGGAAACGCATATACACTGAAAGATACACATTAAGAGATCAAAAGGAAACGAACAATTAAAAGATCCGTCAAAGGCTATTTTGGACAACTGCCTGTGTCATTTAAACCAACTAAGAGCACCAATCTATCGACATTCGCCCGAATTGACTATTAACAAACACTATTTAAGTCGCCTTTATGTTTGGTTCAGCGGAATTTCTGGTCGTCAGCTTGACTGTTTCTTATTATTTCTAGAGGTTAAATAATACCTTTTTTTTGGTTCATTAATAAATCTTCAAATATACACACAAAAATAAATGCGTTTACCCCCGCTACACAGAGAAAAGCGGTCCCACGGCTTACAGGTTTACAATTCAAATACGTGCAAAAGGGGGATGTTTCGAAAGATCGTTGCACGTGCATGGCTTTGTAAATACAAGGTTTTATTTAACCATTGACTCGTGGAGTTACATTACAAACAACAGCTTAATTAACTTGACAGTTGAAGACATTGACAAGGATCTTGGCATTCTATTTGAGAAATAACAAAAAGACGCCGTCGTCGATATCCCCCGTTCATAGTGTACAATTCTATGTAAAAACAACAATTTGTTAGTCTCCAAGTCACTGAAGTGTGAAATGTGGGTCAAATTCAGCATCCACAAGATGCATCAATCATGATAGTATCGAAAGGGTTGCAGTTGTAGTTAGTAAGGTATTCGTGGACGAGTCTCCATTTGTATATCCCCCGCCAACTTCATTGAGCGGGGGATAATCAACATACGTGCGCGTATTATGGTGGAGTATCCATTTTGAGTATATTTATTTTTGAAAAAAAACCCGTGTTGGCCAGCGACATGCCTTGATGCTTAACTTTCGGGGAGTAGCCAGATACATGTATATACTCAGCCCTATGAAGAAAACGGTGATATCAGAGCAGGGAACGACTTGCACTTGCGGAGAACGTTGATGAAAATTCCTTAGACACTGGACAGTGGCCTCATTTACTAATGCATTTTTATATATTGGCTTAACCGTTTGGTGAGGATGTTTAGCGGAAATCAGGCCCACACATCAGTTTACTGAAAAGATCAAGAGGTTACTGGATTCTGCTGATATGGTGTGGAAACGTCTCTTTTTGGAAATTATTTTTTTTTTATTTTTTTTAATAATAAGACCTTAAGACAAAAACTGTATTAATTGATGTCTAAAATATTCCATTCCATAAGTTCATCTTGAAATGAGCATGCTAAAGTTATACACAATAAGCTCAGCTCGTTCTATAATTTTCCGGAAATTTATGTCCATACATTTCGGTACGGTTTCCAAATTTAGTCAAAACCAAACAAAGAAAGATGGCGGATGAATTGCAGTCGAATTTAGCGACGTATAGGCTTCAACTTCAGCAGGTAAATAACAAGAATAGAAAGACGAAGATATGTTTGAAACAAAAGCATATCAATCAAATAATAGGAATTAGTTATGGTGGACTAATCTTTACTGCTTGAAAAGGTTCTAAAACTACACAGATTGTCAGAATTTCGTGATCACATGGTATCGTGTGGTCAACGTTCTGTTTTCATTTTACATTGTCATATTCATTTGGTTTAATTCAATGTTTCGGCTTCAAAGGGCAAGAATGACACCGAAATTCTAAATAATTTGAGCAGACTTCAATTTAATTTAAGTGATGATGAAAATAAACGACAGAGAGTAAATCACCGCTAAATAATATTCCATGGTACTACGTCTCCAGTTTTGACGTAACAACTCTATAGATTGTCATCGTCGAATCCTGGACGTTTCGGTACCTAAGATAGGTGTTCTGATACTTTTTTGTTACTGCTGATTTTTTTTAAATAAAAAACAAATAGTCATTAAGATCAAGGAAACAAGAAAAATTAGTACAAAATAGAAACGTCAGTCCAAGTGCCGAAAATTATAAAATATTGAAACTTTCAGGAAGCAAAGTCTTATACAAGTACGGAAATATCTCCGGACCGAAATAACCATAAAACAGTTCTGTACCCTGTTATCTTCTGGTGTGAAGTTCCCCTTATGGTTCGTACCAGTCACACTGGAGATTCCGGCGAATATACCCGGGGTGTATCAATATTCTAGTATAAATGCAAATATATACAGATAAGTTGATCTAGCTCGGTAACATTGACTGTCCGACCAATCACTGCTTGTGATCATGTTCGTCTTGTACTAATAAATATAAACGGGATATATATACAAAGCAGTATCAATGTAACAGTAAATGCAAAATAACTATGTATAGAACAATAAAACACCTAATACTAATCTAACTGAGCTCTCCCACTACTGATCGCTCAGATCTGCATATATACACGCACACGGCCGATCGCTCGCTGACCTCTCACTGCCCACACCCGTCTCGACCACACTACCTGTACTCTGGCGAAAGCTCAGTATGGCGGATGTCTTGCTACAACGCATCACCATTTTACTGTTACGCATGTATTTGACCGTTACACATAAAGTTCTCATAAATCTCCCCTTTCCAAACTGACTCGCCCGCATTAGCAAGCTTTTATTGTTCCCTACGATCGACACCTTGATCAACGAGCTCTGACCTGCGGGTAGATTTACCTGTGGGGATGTGAACTACGTATAGGTGTGAAACGTGAACAATAGACCACAATTACCAGCGTGTAATTCGTCTAATCATAATTAATGATGTCTGTTAATTAGCAAGGCTTCAATCTACGTTTTGATTTTCATTCGACTGGCAATTGCACCAAAATAATAAATACAAACACAGAAGTTCACACAGTTGCTTTAAACTTTGTTTTCAGTAAAATGCCAAACGTCCGCTGACCTACCTTTGCTGCATTGTTTTCGGCTATCAAATTTTAATGCTTGAAATAAGTTAGCTATGTGAGAAGCTTTTATCAACAAAAGACTGTCGATATATAGACCTTTTGGAAAACTTGAAATAAATTTTGCTACATATTGCTCTTAGGACGGTAGACTGCACGTGGCGGTCAACTTGGATGAGGAGCGTTAATCAATTTGGAGCCAAATTTATAAATAGCGCATTGTTTTCCCAGTTCCACAGTGACAATGAAATATTACAATAATTCGTTTTGATATCTATACCACTATTTAAGTTTATATTGAAAACAGCATTGTTGTGATAAAATTTAGATTCTTTTGTTTACTAAATGATAACAGGTTAGGTAGGCCTGGTTAATTTCATAACTAAGGGATTTTTTTTTAAATCAAATTAAAAATATGTGAAAATAAATACCTTTGGTTGGAATGTCAATATAATTTATTTATCCTCAGACACAATAAATTAGATTAATTTATTTCTATGATGATATTTTTGGAAAAAAAAGTAGGTATTAAAAAATTATGATAAAGAAAAAGAAAAGGGCAAGAAATTAAAGTGAGCAATAATAATGCAATGTCAAGATTATTAAGTAATGCTATCTATTTAGAATTAACTGCATCAATTATTACTCTTTTTAGAGTTTTTAGATCACCTGGCCCGAAGTGCCATGTGAGCTTATAATTATGCTGTACTGCGGCGTGCGTCGTCTGTCCATCAACTTTTTCTTTTGAACGGCTTCTTCTGAAGAACTGGAGGATCTAGGGTCATGATATTTGACCAGTAGGTACCTGAGATGGAGTGCTATAAACCTTCCTCATTAAAATGACCTTGACCCACTTTCAAGGTCACTGGGGTCAAATATGTTAAAAACTTAAAACAACAATATCCTAAGAACCATTTGGACTAGAGTCATAATACTTGGGTATGTTATGTAGACCAGTAGTGCAATTTTTTTTCTCAATAACAGTAATGAGGTCAAAGGTCAACTTTCAGTTCAAGTTGGGGATCAAAGGTCAACATGGGTTAAAGGCTTTAACAATCTTCTTCTCAAGTTCCATAAGGCCCAGGGTCATGATATTTGGCCAGTAGGTACGTGGGATGAAGTGCTATAAAGTGTCCTCATTAAAATGACCTTGACCTATTTTCAAGGTCACAGGGTTCAAATATGTTAAAAACTTCAAACAATATCCTAAGAACCATATGGACTAGTCATGATACTTGGGTATGTTATGTAGACCAGCTGTGTGAATTGTTTTCTTTATAACAGTAATGAGGTCAGAGGTCAACTTTAAGTGCAAGTCGGGAGTCAAAGGTCAATGTGGGTTAAAAGCTTTAAAATTTGAAATTTCAAACAGAACCGTTGAAGAGATGTTAAAATGACTTGTGTTCTAGTAACCAAATTTGGTCTTAAGTTACCTATGTGTCAGTTTCATGTAACAAAAGAAACAGGTGAGCGATACAGGCCCTCTGGGCCTCTTGTTCTCAAAATGGCATTGCACACAAATAATAGGTTACAACGTGGAAATAGTTGGCAGCGCTGTGATGGAAGGTAAAAAATAGATGCCATAGCGCATCAAAAAAAATCTGGGGAGAACACTGCTTATATACCCATATGGCCCGCCCTACCTTTTTAATTACCAGGAGATTGCACGCATCACCTATGTTTTTTGACCAGGGCTAGGTCAAGGCCAGCTCTACTCTAGTGCGTAAATAGCATGAAGAATGCATAAGAACACAGAGATTTACAAATACAAATGGCTAGCTCGGTATGTTTTCTTCACACTGGTATAGCATCAGTTTTACCTGGTAACTTTAGATATATATAACCTTGTATAATGTGAGTGTTTTACCTGGTAACTTTAAATATATATAACCTTGTATAATGTGAGTGTTTTCCATAAACTGTATCTACAAGTTAGAAAACTTTCATGATTCAACATTCTACATGTGTGTATGTAACATGTGTGTATGTGACATGTGTGTATGTAACATGTGTGTATGTAACATGTCTGTATGTAACATGTGTGTATGTAACATGTGTGTATGTAACATGTGTGTTTGTGACATGTGTGTGTGTGGCATGTGTGTATGTAACGTGTGTGTATGTGACATGTGTGTATGTAACATGTCTGTATGTAACATGTGTGTATGTAAAATGTGTGTATGTAACATGTCTGTAAGTAACATGTGTGTATGTAAGATGTGTGTTTGTGACATGTGTGTGTGTGGCATGTGTGTAGGTAACGTGGGTGTATGTGACATGTGTGTGGGCGACATGTGTGTATGCAACATGTGTGTATGTAGCATGTGTGTATGTAACATGTGTGTATGTAACATGTGTGTATGTGACATGTGTGTGTGCGACATGTGTGTATGCAACATGTGTGTATGTGGCATGTGTGTATGTAACATGTGTGTATGTAACATGTGTGTATGTGGCATGTGTGTATGTAACATGTCTGTATGTAACATGTGTGTATGTAACATGTGTGTATGTGACGTGTGTGTGCGACATGTGTGTGTGCGACATGTGTGTGTGCGACATGTGTGTGTGCGACATGTGTGCGTGCAACATGAGTGTATGTGACATGTGTGTAGAATATTGAATCATGACAGTTTTGGTCATGTTTCTTTTTCAATGCAATTACCGGTATGTTACTGATTGTACAGAAAGTTGTTTAGGGTCTTAAGCTCATAAGGGTCAAATTCTTTGATGAAGGATAGCTAAATATAGATGGGTATAGTAAAACTGCAAAACCACAACGAGACAGGAGATATATTCATCCCATAGACTAGATACCTATTTTGAAAAGACTGGAAAGAATAAAATATGACTACCAATCTGAAGTTTAAGCTATACATGTGTGTCTATTGTATTGACTTCAACAAAGTGAAATATCTCTAAACCCGTCTTTGCCCACCCTATAGGTGTAAAATATGAAAATCACAGGTTTCAGTTCTTGTTCCAGAAACTTGTATCTCAGAAATAAAGTGTTGTAAAATGATACCATAAAGTTTCATTATAGCTCTTTGTCAGCCAATGTTTACACCATATCAAATGTTAACCCTCAACTGGACAACTATATTTCTTGTTAAACACATGTACAATCGACAAAATACTTAATTTGTACATTAGAAATAAATTGCTTCTGTTTCTTTTCAGGTTGAAGCTTCATTAGCTAACGATGCAGATAATGAAGATCTCCTAAAACTGAAAAAGGATTTACAGGTAAAAACTAAGTTATATATATTCTCACAATTTGAAATATCTAATTTCTCTTGTTATCTAATGCATTACAAGGTATGTGTTATAGAAATTAAGGACTTTGGTTTTGGTCAATAAATCAAATCTTGTTCACATTAATTACACAGTTTACAATGATTTAATTGATTTTTATACAAGTTTTATCTTATTGTAAAGGTTATTTTCAGAAGACATATGTGTGAGTTGTATGTTACAGGAGGTTATTGACCTGACTTCTGAGCTAGTCGGCCAACAGAAGGTAGAGGTAGGAGATGAAGAGGAGGAGGCAGCAGGGCCTAGCAACGAGGAGACGGGATCTAAGGTGGTTGTCCCTCAACATGACTGGAAGTCTGGTGAAGACTGTATGGCAATGTACTCCGAGGATGGGCAGTAAGTAGCTTTGTTATCCTTCTAGGGAGCATTCATACATTGTTCCATAGGGTAATCATACATTGTTCCATAGGGTAATCATACATTGTTCTTGGGGGCATTCATACATTGTTCCATATGGTAATCATACATTGTTCTTGGGGGCATTCATACATTGTTCCATGGGGCATTCTTACACTGTTCCATGGGGTAATCATACATTGTTCCATGGGGTAATCATACATTGTTCTTGGGGGAATGCATTTACACTTTGTTCCATGGGGTAATCATACATTGTTCTTTGTGGCATTCAGACATTGCTCCATGGGGTAATCATACATTGTTCCATGGGGTAATCATACATTGTTCTTGGGGGCATGCATTTACACATTGTTCCATGGGGTAATCATACATTGTTCTAGGGGGCTTTCACACATTGTTCAAGGGGGCATTCATACATTGTTTTCTAGGGGGCATTCATACATTGTTTTTTCTAGGGGGCATTCATACATTGTTTTCTAGGGGCATTCATACATTGTTTTAAGGGGCATTCATACATTGTTCTAGGGGACATTCATACATTGTTTTCTAGGGGGCATTCATACATTGTTCTAGGGGGGCATTCATACATTGTTCTAGGGGGCATTCATACATTGTTTTATGGAGCCATTGATATATTGTTTTAGGGGACTTTCATACATTGTTTTCTTCTAGGGGACATTCAGACATTGTTCTAGGGGACATTCATACATTATTCTAGAGGGCATTCATACATTGTTATATGGGGCATTCATTCTTTGTTCAAGGGGACATTCATACATTGTTCAAGGGGACATTCATACATTGGTCTAGGGGGCTTTCATACATTGTTCAAGGGGACATTCATACATTGTTCAAGGGGACATTCATACATTGTTAAAGGGGACATTCATACATTGTTCAAGGGGACATTCATACATTGTTCAAGGGGACATTCAAACATTGTTCTAGGGGACATTCATACATTGGTCTAGGGGGCATTCATACATTGGTCTAGGGGGCATTCATACATTGTTCTAAGGGGCATTCATACATTGTTCTAGAAGGCATTAACTAGAACATAAATGTAAAGTTCATCTCATCACAGTTTATTATTATTGCAGTTTTGTGAAAATACATCTTCATTTTTCTTATCCTTTCTTTGCTTTCTACGGGCCATGACACCACAAATTTTTGTTTAACCTTTTTGTAAATATATGGCACTGTGAACAAAACTCCTAAGATGGCTCCACATTACATGGGAGCAATTAATTAAAGTCATTAAATCTGGGCAATGATTACTGTTCCCTGGGGTATGTATTACATTATGAATGTTATGAAAGATATATGCTACTGCTGATTTTAATTTTGTTATAAACAAGTACATAAAATATTGAGAGTAACTCAGTAAGACATATAAGGGAGTTGTTGAAACACTCGGAAACCTCTACTTTTAATGGGTTGTTTTAAGCAGTAGCAGGATTGGCGTATGATTTCCATGTGTGGGTACAGTCACTGTCAGAGTAGGTGATATAGTATATTATTATATGTTGATTCACATGTACAGACTTTCTTTTATTTGATTGTATTTACAGGCTAAAGTTGTCTGATAAAAATGAGCTGTCCAAGCTTAGGGTTTACATTGTTTTGGCTGGTTTAAAATCCAAGATGGCCAGTTGGCCACCCAAACATTTCATTGGTTTTTTTTTTCATTTTTTGCTTGTTATATCAGTCTGTTATTAACCAAAATTACTACAAGTACATGCGTATATGGATGCAAATCATTTTTGACAAAGTAAATTTTAAACTTACCACACTTCAAAGGTCACAGATGAGAGATGTGTTACCAAAAATTAGCTGACAGCATTGAAAAAACTAGTGAATGATACAGGCACAATGGGCCTCTTGTTTGAATAAGTACAATATAATATAAAGCTGTTGGCAATAGCAATCCCAAACAAACCAATATAATCTGTCCACTCTGACAAACAGTTGTTTTATTTTTTACCAGATATTATCCGGCCACAGTAGATGAAGTATTGGAAGACGGGACATGCACAGTCAAGTTCAACGATTACGGAAACATGGATGTGACAGAGGTATCAGAATCCTTCACCAAATACATCGTCACAGAGCAGTCCTACCAGTTTATAGTTAAAGCATGTACTCCAGGGAGATATCTTCTCACTATACAACAGTCAAGGGAGATATCTTCTCTATAAAACAGTCCAGGGAGATATCTTCTCTATATAACAGTCCAGGGAGATATCTCCTCTATATATAACAGTCCAGGGAAATATCTTCTCTGTACAACAGTCCAGAGAAATATCTTCTCTTTACAACAGTCCAGGGAGATATATTCTCTATACAACAGTCCAGGGAAATATCTTCTCTATATATAACAGTCCAGGGAGATATCTTCTCTATATATAACAGTCTAGGGAGATATCTACTCTATATAACAGTCCAGGGAGATATCTTCTCTATATAACAGTCCAGGGAGATATCTTCTCTATATA